TCCCTCATGGGGGGGGCTCTCTCTCACACACATTCTGTGTGATCACTTCCCTCATGGTGGGGACCTCTCTCTCACACACATTTTGTGTGATCACTTCCCTCACCTGGGGAGGGGACCTCTCTCTCACACACATTCTGTGTGATCACTTCCCTCATGGGGAGGGGCCTCTCTCTCACACACATTCTGTGTGATCACTTCCCTCATGGAGAGGGGCCTCTCTCTCACACACATTCTGTGATCACTTCCCTCATGGGGAGGGGCCTCTCTCTCACACACATTCTGTGATCACTTCCCTCATGGGGAGGGGCCTCTCTCTCACACACATTCTGTGATCGCTTCCCTCATGGGGAGGGGCCTCTCTCTCACACACATTCTGTGTGATCACTTCCCTCATGGGGGGACCTCTCTCTCACACACATTCTGTGTGATCACTTCCCTCATGGGGGGACCTCTCTCACACACACATTCTGTGTGATCGCTTCCCTCATGGGGGGGACCTCTCTCTCACACACATTCTGTGTGATCACTTCCCTCATGGAGAGGGGCCTCTCTCTCACACACATTCTGTGTGATCACTTCCCTCATGGAGAGGGGCCTCTCTCTCACACACATTCTGTGATCACTTCCCTCATGGGGAGGGGCCTCTCTCTCACACACATTCTGTGATCACTTCCCTCATGGGGAGGGGCCTCTCTCTCACACACATTCTGTGATCGCTTCCCTCATGGGGAGGGGCCTCTCTCTCACACACATTCTGTGTGATCACTTCCCTCATGGGGGGGACCTCTCTCTCACACACATTCTGTGTGATCACTTCCCTCATGGGGGGACCTCTCTCTCACACACATTCTGTGTGATCGCTTCCCTCATGGGGGGGACCTCTCTCTCATACACATTCTGTGTGATCGCTTCCCTCATGGGGAGGGGCCTCTCTCTCACACACATTCTGTGTGATCGCTTCCCTCATGGGGAGGGGCCTCTCTCTCACACACATTCTGTGTGATCACTTCCCTCATGGGGAGGGGCCTCTCTCTCACACACATTCTGTGATCACACGTTACCTGAGCAATCAATGCATGGCCCTAAGGTCCTTGGGGATGTGCTATGCTTTAAACCAATCAGGAAGAGCAGCCTGCTAAGGATGAACACAGCTGCTTGGTTTTCTGAGCCACTCCACGTTTTTACACACTATTTAAATAGAGAATTAGCTTCCATCAAGTACAGCTTTCCAGAAAAACTGGCAATGTATGACTTCACTGGTAACACAGTAACTGAAACATCTGGAAGGACAGTCTTCAAGTCCCTAAGGTAAGTGCTGTACCTAGGAAGATGGAGAAAGCCCACAGCACACCTAGACACCACCTGGGTCATTGACTTATTTTTGGCAGGTCTGTTGTTCCTAGAGAGTTTCCCTCCCATCCTTGTTTCTGAGGGCAGACAGTGTAGGACATGAGGACCAGCAGGACATTCCATCTGATGGCAGCCTGGGTTATAACCCACTAAGCACACACTATCCAAGCCCCGGCCCACGCCCCTAAGAGAGATGCCAGTCCCACAAGTGAAGCCGACTCCCTGCATCCAGAGTGGGCAAACCCCACACAAAGCAGAGCCTTCTGAGTGGCCCTGGCCAACACCACACAGACCAGGGAAAGGGCCCAGCTAGTGTGTGTGAGTGTGTGAGTGTGTGTGTGAGAGTGTGTGAGTATGAGTGTATATGACTGTGTGTGAGTGTTTCTGTGTGAGTGTGTGTGTATGTGTGTGGGTGTATATTGTGAGTTGTGTGTATGTGTGTGAGTGTGTGTATGAGAGTGTGTGAGTATGAGTGTGTGTGAGTGTGTGAATGTGTGTATGTGTGTGTGGTGAATGTGTGTGAGCGTGTGAGTATGTATGTGTGAGTGTGCATGTGTGAGTGTGTGTATTGTGTGTGTATATGTGTGTGAGCGTGTATGTGTGTGTATATGTGTGGTGAGTGTGTGTATATATGTGTATATTGTGAGTGTGTATGTGTGTGAGTGTGTATGTGTGTGAGTGTGTATGTGTGTGTATGAGTGTGTGTGTATGTGTGCGAGTGTGTATGTGTGTGTATGTGTGTGGTGAGTGTGTGTATATGTGTATATTGTGAGTGTGTGTGTGAGTGTTGTGTATGTGTGTGAGTGTGTATGTGTGTGAGTATGTGTGTGAGTATGTGTATGAGTGTGTGTATGTGTGTGAGTGTGTATGTGTGTGTGGAGTGTGTGTGTGTGTGTGAGGGGGGTACATGTTAAGTCACTAGCTTTCAGGTGGTTTGCTACCCAGCAGTAGGAACCTGCAGCCAGGGAAGGTAGCCATCTTTTGGAGACTGTGGACTGGGGCTGAGGAAGACAATCTGAGGAGCTCTATCCCTGTGGGTCTAGAACTACAAGTTCTAGACTTGTAGCCAGCAAACATCAGGAAGGGCTCGCTTATTCAGAGCTCATGAAGAGCAGTCATGGGAGGCAGAGGAGAGGCCTGGCAATAAGGCAGCAGACACTGTATGAGCAGGAACTAGCTGGCCAGGAAGAATGTAGAGACGCACAGGGCTAAGCTGGCAGAGCAGTGGCCCTAAGGGTCACTAAGGGCCCTAAGGGCTTCTGGTGGCAGGAATGCAGTGTTTTATCAGTTCCCTGAGGTCTCTCATGATCTCATTTAACAGGTTCATAAAGCTGATATAGTTCAGTGGAAGCCTTGACCAAACAAGGGAGGTCCAAATTTAACGATGGCCTCTGTGTTCTGCTTACGGAGAGGAGAGAAGAGTCAGTGACACCGGACCTGTGTAAAGATAGAAAACTAAACACCAAGCACAGTGGCACCACCAGCGGGAAGCGGCTCCGGGGGGTCTGAGAGCAGGGCCGAACACGGCAGCCTGAGATCCAGGGCAGCCGCCGAGCTGGACTGAAGCAGGGGAGGAGGAGGAGGTCCACAAGGACGCAAGTGTGGCTCACTGTAGAGCTCGTCTGTGCTCTCTACCAGCACCCACTCCATACACTGGACAAGGCTCACGGCAAATGCTAGACTTCAGAACGGAGCGACAGTGCTTAGAGAGGCAGCGGCACGGCTTAGATACCGTGAAATTTAAAATCAGATGAAGAGTTCAAACGATGTGTGCACGGGGACAGTCCCAGATCTCTCTCCCTCTCCCTCCCTCTCTCTCTCTCACACACAGACAGACACACAGACACAGCTTAACAAGAAATGTAAGTCACGCCAAGGAAAGCTCAGATGCTCAGAGTAGGGAAATAAGTCTTCCAGGGAGGTCAGCCCTGAAAACACACATGCAAGTGACTATGCAGATTGAGCAGGCTACATTTATGTATTTGGAAATATGTATATATGTATACACACACTCACACACATATGTTTGTAACAATGGAAAGAAGGGGCCATGAATTTGAAAGAGGACAGGGGGAGAAGAGAGAGGGTGTATGATGTAGTTATACTACAATATTAAAAATGAAAGAGATAAAAGAGAGACGCTTTCTCGTAGGGGCTCCCAGTGTGTGTCCACTGCTGCTCTGACACTCACAGGTAATGGCACCTCCTCACCCCTCACCAAGGAGACCTCTCTCCTACAGAGGCCACTACAGAAAAGAGGTTTCAGAGGGAAACAGCAGTAGCAACTGGGCTCGAGGCCATTCCTACGACATTGCAGCAAAGAATCTGGCTGCTCTCTGCCCATGCCCCGAGAAGTTGCCTGAGGCTGAATTAAAAATTATGGAACTAATGTTTTTTGGCAGAAGAAATTTCACGACAAAATAATGTTGGTTCTAAGGCATTGCTATTACTGAAAATGTGTATGCAGGCCTGCAACGACAAAGTGTAAGTAGGTCAGAAAGAAGTAATATGGAGGTGGGGGGAAGGAGGCACTAGGAAGCTTAATGTCACAGCTGAGGGTTGTGGTGGAGAGAGGCTTAGGCCTGCTCTGGGCCGGAATGAAGGGAAGCCTGCCCTCAGTGCAAGACCCACCCAGCTAAATCTCCAGCTAAGAAAGCCTCGTCAACCTCTGCTCTTGGAAAGCAACCGAATACAAGCGCGTCTGTTGACGAGATTCAAGGGGAAGGGCCCACCCGAGCGGACGGACAGACTTGGCACAGCCGTCCAAACGGTGCTGGGTTTAGAGGGGTAAAGGGTACAGGAGTGGAGATGCTGAGCAGTCTTCTCCAGGTTCAGAGAGCCTCTCGGGCCCCTGAGCGCAAGAGGACCCGAGAGGCCCTCACATAGAGCTGTGAGAGGGAACGTGGGACACAGTGGAGGCCACAGGTGCTGGGAATGACAGAGCTGTGTGCCACCAACAGGTACACATGGGCACGGTCAGCCCAAGCAAAGCTGGAGGGGCCGAGCCATCCACACCCATGTCCCTGGGAGAGGACATGGGTCTTGGCATTTCACCTGCCAAGTCTTGCCTTGGTTCGGTATTTCCTCCCTTTGTCCCCATTCCTCCGGTTTGAAATGGTAGTGTATATTCTGCACCATTATATGTATGTTGGGTGTATGTAATCTTGTATTTTATTTTACAGGGGGATCTCAAGTAGAGACTGTCTTTGAATCTCAGAAGAGGCTGTGGACTATGAAAGGTTATGGGGCTGTCTGAAGGTAGACTAAATCCAGTTTGCACTGTGATATGGCCATGGGCCTATGGGAAGCAAGAACTGGAATGTTGTGGCTTAAATGACAAATGTCCACCATAGGCTGATACATCATGGCCACTTGGTCCCCACTGGTGGCGCTGTCTGGGAGCTTTAGCAGGCCTGGCCTGGCTGTGTCACTGGGAGTGACTTTTGACGTTTTACAGCCTTCCAGACTGCTCTCTGTTTCCTATTTGTAGTGAGAATATAAGCTCCCAGCCTCTGGCTCTGGCCACCATGCCTGCTTATGACCGTGTGTTCCTGCCATAATGGACTCATCCCTCTGGAACAGTAAGCAAAATAAACTCTGTAAGTTGCCTTGGTCGTGGCATTTTATCGTATCGGTGTCCTCTTCCGTACCTTCAGGATGGTGATATTCCAGGTAAAGCTCTCCACGGCCTTCTGCAGCTTCCGTTCCTTCAGGCCCTCCTTAGTGCCTATGCTGTGCAAGTGTTCATGGAATTCCATGGCTGAAAGAAATCAAACGAATGGAGGTTATCACTTCCCTATCATGTAAGAAGTAATGAGCAGGGAACATGTCTACCAATTCCAAGCTGCACGTGAACAAGTCTATTTGAGAATATGACGAGAGAAAACATGGGAAACTCAACGCATCGAGAGATGGAGAGTGTCTTAGAGGCCAGTGAATGTTCCTCACAGGTCTGCGGGTGGTCATCGCCACCTGCTTATTTTAGACAGAGGCTGCCAACAGCCAGAAAAGGAGCTAAGACAGACACAGGCATCTAGAGTCTCGGGGGTAAACTTCATCTCTACTGAGGACCCAACCCTGGCACAGGAGATGAACTAGACACAAAGACGCACACTTCCCATCGGTAGAGGTCAATACAAGGTTAGACATCAAACCTATAGGGAAGAGGAGATGCTCCTCCAACATTACACTTACTAAAGGAGCTTTTCAAAGCTCACTTAATCAATGACTATTTCCAATCGGCTTTCAAAAGAGTTTCTCTAGAAGGATCTTCATAACAATAAGGGAAGAGTCCTTCCATGTGTAGTCATTATAATGCATAGGTTGTCTTTGCTTATTCCCCTATGGTCAACCATTCTGTCCTGGCTAATGAGACCCTTTCAAAATGCTTCCCACACCGTTCTATACCCAGCTGGCCTTCGATACCTGCCTTCTGAAAAAGTCATTCTTTTCCAGAAAAAGAATTCTAGAAATCCAGAAAAAGACTTCCCAGAGCTAGTTATTTCTCCAAGGATATTTATATTGTGTATGTGTGAGTGTGTACATGTGTATGTGTGTGTTTGTACACATGCATGATCTCACATATACCTCTCTCCCTTATAATAGTCTTGCTACTGAATTTTCATTACATTTTAAATGACATTTTTGTTAATATTATTTTATATTATATCTGTATTTTGATAATATTCACTCCCTAACTCATCCCAGAGTCACCCTCGCCTCCCTCCTCACTCAGTTTTGAGCTCCCCCCCCAACATAATGCTGAATTCAGTTTGTGCCGCCCAACTCCTCCTGGACATGGAGCCTACCCTGGAGTGTATTTGCCACATTAGGGTCACATCATTAAATGACTTTCCCTCTTGCTACAGGCGTCAAATGTCAAGAGCTTCTCAACTAGTGGTGGGGTTTTGTACCGACCTTCCCCACTCCATTCTGGGATTTTGTCTGATTTGAGCTTATGTAAGTCCTGTACATGTTGTCCAAACGACTGTAAGTTCATATGTGCAACATTCCTGCTTTGTCTGGAAAAGTTATTTACCTGATGCTATACATCACATCTGTTCCTACAATCTCTCCACCCTCTCTACCAAAAAGATTGCTGAGCCTTGGGGTAGGGTGTTGTCTTAGTTAGGATTACTATTGCTATGATGAAACACCATGACCAAAAACAACCCGGGGAGAATGGGGTTTGTCTTACACTTCCACATCGTATTCATCACTGAAGGAAGTCAGGGCAGGAACCTGGAGGCAGGAGCTGATGCAGAGGCCATGGAGGGGAGCTGCTCACTGGCTCCCTTCCTATGGGTTGGGCAGTCTGCTTTCATGTTGACCCCAGGACCCCCAGCCCAAGCCAGCTCCACCCACAATGGGCTAGGTCCACCCATTCCAATCACTAACTAAGAAAATGCTCTACGGGCTTGCCTACAGTCCAATCTTATGCAGGCATTTTCTCAATCAAGTCTCCAAAGACTTAGCATGTGTCAAGTAGACATAAAGCTAGGTGATAAACATATGTGTATTTGCTCAGCCCTCACAGTCTCTTATCTGCATATTGATCAACTGAGGGTCTCTATGTTAATCGCCATATACTATAAGAAGAAGTTTCTCTGATAAGGGTTGAGAGATGTACTAAGCCATGGGTATAGCAATGGGTTATTAGGAACAGTTTTAACATTATGTCCATTTAGCAAGATAAAAGTATTGAGTTTTCTCCCAGGTTGGGGCACATCTAGTTACAGGTTCATGGCTCCTTTAACAGTGACACAGGTATGGTTTTCACCTCATAGGGAAAGTGATTGGTTACTCCTGTACCATCCATGCCATTATTATACCAGTGGCCACATCTTGTCCGGCCAGTTGTTGTAGCTTACAAGGGGTCAGAACTGGGTGTGACTGATGATTCTTTGTCTCTTCTGAGAGTGTGCATAGCACCTTCCAGCACCATGAAAGCTGGCCAGTAGTTATGAATCTTCCAGGTAAGTATCAGCTTGATTAACCCATGTTGTAGGAGTGAAGTGTGTGGTGTCTTCAGCACTCCTCAGGTTCCAGAGGATAACTGTGAATAATGGTAATAGTCTGTAATGCTTGGGGATATATGGGACCTCACTGGCTAAAACTAAAAAAGAGGTAACCCATTCCTGCTACTGGGTTTTTACTTGCTAGCCCCGGCTGTAAGGTAAGACCATTTAAACTACACACACACACACACACACACACACGAATGAAGCTTATTGCTATAGTGTGATTCTCATATGGGTTTTTCAAAAGTGCTTTAGTGTTAGTTATCCCTTCCCATATTCCTCCCTCCACCTTGTTCTGCCATTCCTATCCTTTCTTGTTCATTACCCTGTGCACCACGGTTCCTATCTCCTCTCTCTTGAAGGCACAGTTCCCATGCCTCCGTACTAAGTTTCTACCCTCTACAGATAATGCAATACAAAGATGAACCTTTGTCTACAAACTAGACAAAGACATGAGGCACTGGTCTTTCTTTATCAGGGTTACAAGGAGGCATGGCCTTGTTGGATAAGGTGTGTCACTAGGGGTGGGCTTTGAGGTTTCCAAAATCCACTCTAGTCCAGTCAGTTCTCTATGTCTCCTATTTGTGTATCACATGTAAACTTGTAGCTGATGCCCCCAATACCATGGCTGCCTGCCTGATGCTTTACTCCCCATATTGATGACCACAGACTCTAATCCTCCGAAAGTGTAAGCAAGTCTTCAAACACTTTCTTTTATACACTGCCTTATATGGTGTTTCTTCATAGCAATAGAACAATAATTAAGACAAGCAGCTATAAACATTTTTAAAGAGATTCCAGATCTTCGTAAGTTCAAGGACAGTCTAGTCTACAGAGCAAATTCTAGGATAGTTAGGGCTACACAGAGAAACCCTATTTCAAATACCTCACCACCCCCACAAAAAGGAGGGATCTTATCAGTTCTTTGGATTCAAATATAATTAATGTTTCTATATAACTTTTGAAAATTCATGCTTACTGTTCCTTCTTAGGTAAGAAATCTTAATTCCTAACCAGACACTGTGACTGGTAATAATTAAGACTTTTGACCTTAGAGTAGGTCTTACTGAGCATGACCAGTAAGTCCTGTCAAATATGTGACTGCATCATGGACAAAGCATAATTAGGTTCAACTGTTGGCTCACTGCTTGTTTGCTTGTGTCAGTGTCTATGTGCTTTAGTTTTACAAAACATCATTTTCCAAAAATAAATTTACAAAACTTAATCAAAACTTAACGTGATTCCAAGGCTATCAAGGTATATTCAGGTGGGTCTTGCATCTTTCCTGGTCTCCTCTACCTTTCCCCACTCCTCATCTCCCTGTGTGCTTTCTCTGTGCAGACAGAAGCACGTCATAGACTCACAATCTCTCCCTTCTCACAGAGGAGAAGCACAATGCATGTCCCGTTCTGTACCTCATTGATGGGAGATGTCATTCTGTAAATATGTTTCTCGTGTTGGTTGGTGAATAAAGCACTGTTGTCCAATAGAAAAGCAAGATAGGCCGGACTAGGAGACAAGGAGGAGAGAGGAAGAAGTAGGGAGGAGATTCAAGATGGAGGACGGAGAGAGCCGGTCCAGTCCCTCTCTCCAGTAAGATGAGACCACATGGAAACACTTAGATTAATAGCAATGGGTTAATATATAAGGCAAAGCTAGCCAATAAGAAACGCTAGTAACAGGCCAACAGCTTTATATCTAATACAGCATCCCTGTGTGTTATTAGGGGCTGGCACAGCTCTGGGACCAGGCCTGCGGGGAAAACTGATCATAACACCTCATTTTCCTTCCTTTAACACAGGCGCAGCCTCACTCCACAATGGGGCAGACCTCTTGCTCCTGCTTTTAGCAGACTCACAGCCTGAACTGTTGGATGACCAGTACAGTACGAATGTGGTTAGTTCCTACTGACAGATGCTGAGAAAGGTCATGTTTACTATTTACTGTATTTACAGTGATATAAAATTAATATCAAGCTGGTAAGACATTTTCTACTTTGTATTTATTTTATTTTATTTTTATGGTAATGGAGAATAAAGTCAGGGTCTCATGCACAAGAAACAAGCGTCCTAACAATGAGATGTATCACTGGCCCTACTTGAAATTTTATTGTTTACTTATTTTAAAGTGGAATCCATTTTCTTTTACATTCATACACTTACACATTTGTGTGTGTATGTGTTTGTGTTCATGTCTACATGAATCACATGAAGTGCAATGGCTATGGTCAGAGAACAACTTGCCCCAACAAGCAGCAGAACTTGGCAGCTTTAACCATGTGTTCCAGCTTTTGAGTTAAGGATAGAAGAAATACACTATGGGATTTGCCTCTGTGTCTTTGATGTGGGCATGTGTCAGGGGCGAACCTACACGGAACCTTAGAGAGGCCACTGTGTGAAGCTGTGAAGTTAAAGCCTGGGTCAACTTGGAGAGCACAGGATGCTGGAGATGCCAGAGTCACAGGACACCTGCTGAGGAGAGCTGCTAATGGAGTGGAACCAGCCCACGAGGAAGAAGTGTGCAACAGTCAACAGAGCTGAACAAAGTTAGAGATCCGAAGCGTGCTTTGACATCAGACATGGGGATGCAGAGTGTGGAGTTTGCCCAGCTGGTTTTCAGTATTGCTTTGGTCCAGAGTTTCCTTGAGAACCCTTCCTACATTTTTGGAATGGTAATGTATATCCTATGCCATTATATGCCGGAAGTATGTGAGCTGCTTTTTTATTTTGATTCTATAGTT